GGACTGGCTTAGACTGGACTAAGCTGGACTAATTTAGTGAAGCGTTTGGTGTAATGTCGGACTAAGAAGCAGGATAAGAAAAACAGTACTGTTCACCAGATTTGTGTTTGCTTAAACTAGGACTACAAATTTTTGCCATTGTGTAATAGAGTAATGCTACAAATCTCATGATATGGGTTAATTGGAGCATATTTTTGCCATGTATATTATGAATCTTAAAAAAAATTGACAATTGTTTTGTTTCTATTACCTGCTAATAGAATTGGGTTTAATTTGCAAATGTAGCTTGGTTTAAACTCTATCACCCAACAGAAGAAAAATAATAGTGCCCAATACATGCAACTTCAACAAAATACAAGTACATAAGAAGATCTCCATAATTTAGAAAAAATCTTAGTTAACATTAGTTAACATTAGCCAAAATAGATCTCCATAATTTACAAAATGGCTAGTTAACATAAGCCAAAATACTAGTGCAAAGCTAAGTTATAAGTCATAACATAAGATTGTATGATTAATAAAATACATCCATGTTAACATTAATAAAATACATCCATGTTAACATTAGCCAAAATCTTCATCCGCTTGCGTTGTCGCTTAAAAGCCTTTGGACGAACACTTTCTTGAGTTCCGGTTTGATTGCCCTGCACACACACACACACACACACACTGCATACATACACACACACACACACATTGCATACATACATACACACACACACACACACACACACACACACACACACTGCATACATACACACACACACACGGCATACATACATACACACACACACACTGCATACATACACACACACACACACACACACACACACATTGCATACATACACACACACACACACGGCATACATACACACACACACACACACACATTGCATACACACACACACACTGCATACACACTCACACACTGCATACACACTCACACACATACTCACACGGACATACACACTCTCACACACGGACATACACTCACACACACCCTGCATACATACATACATACACACACACACACACACTGCATACATACACACACACACACACTGCACACACACTGCATACATACACACACACACACACACACACGGCATACATACACACACACACACTGGTCAGATGCACACACTGCACTCACACGGACATACACACTCTCACACACACCCTGCATACATACATACACTGCATACATAATCAAATTGTACAACTTAAGTTGGTTCAAACTTACACACAATACACACACACACTACACAAACACACACACACACACACACAATACACACACACACACACACACGGCCACAATACACAAACACACACACACACACACACACACACACACACAATACACACACACACTACACAAACACACACACACACACAATACACACACACACTACACAAACACACACACACACACACAATACACACACACACTACACAAACACACACACACACACACACACACACACACACACACGGACACAATACACAAACACACACACCCACACACACAATACACACACACACTACACAAACACACACACACACATATTACACTTACACACACACATATTACATACACACACACACACACACACAGATTACACAGAGAGAGAGGGAGAGAGATTACATACATACAAACACACACACACACACAAAGATTACACACACACACACACACACAGATTACACAGAGAGAGAGGGAGAGAGATTACATACATACAAACACACACACACACACACACACAGATTACACAGAGAGAGAGAGAGATTACATACACACAGATTACACACACACACACAGAGTATACACACACATATTACACTTACACACACACAGATTACACACACAGATGCACACACACAGATTACACACCCAAATTTTTACTTGGATGCTCTACCAGGCCAAATCAGTCTTTCAATCTCAGCCGTTTAAGAAAATGCATTGGTTCCCAGATTGGACCACATCATCTACCAATCTTCTTCCCCACAAAAACAAAAATAACTCAAATAAAGAAAAAAACCCATTTAACAGAAAACCAGCGGCGGCGCCTGGGGTGCTTACGACGGCCGCCAGCAAAGTAGTGAATGTTGCAGCAAATTAAAGAAAAAAAAACATTTTACCAAAAACCAGTGCAATCGGCTACCATGCATGCCTCTTCGAGTCCAAAACATTCAACAATCAGCTTAATTGACTTCATAAACTATCAAAAAATTCGAATTGACCCATAAAAAAAATCCAAAAATAAAAAATCCCCAAAATAGACGAGGATCACAGCCCAAAAACCCGAATTTCTCAAAAACCCAGAAACAAAAAAGCTGGAAGAAGGCGGCATTACCTCAACTTGGGCACCAACGAGAAGCTTTCGTCGATGAGGGTGAGGAGGACGACGACGAGGAAGCAGGGCAAGATCGACGACGAGCGACGAGCAGGACGAGGGACGTTGGGGATCCTCGCGGTTTTCTCTCCGTGCTTACGAATCCGCCCAAAATTGGGGTTCTTCGTTAAGAACTCGTAAGGAGGCGTGTAATCCGAGCGAGTCCCACCTAAGCCCATTAAAGCTAATCCGGTTGCACACCAAACACAGGACTATAGTCTAGTCCAGTCCAAGCCTTGCTAATCCTGTCAAACAAACGTGCCCATAATGTCTTATGACGCTCTTGTATAGAATCGCTAAATTAAATGTAAACTAATATTTATCTCTGTAATGTTGTAGGCACAAGATTTTGAAGACCCAAAAGTGCACCATCGACACGTTGTAGGTCCGATTTCCCACCCTAATCTGAAACCCCCTACTATTCCTGCAGGTCATATTTCCCCATCCCCTATAATTTTATTCTACAAATTCGTGCACCCACCCACCCTAATCTTAATTTGAATGAACCTACAAATTCGTGCACCCACCTTAATTCGAAACCCACAGTCCTCAAACCCTCACACATTCGACAAAATACTCAAAAATCAAGTTAATCAACATGAAATTTGACCCTAAACATTAAAGAACAAAAACTAGTGAAAATCAGAAACCTTTACTTGGATTTTGGGACTTGATTGGTCTCGGATTCGCGTCTTCCTACGTCTGTGTGTGTGTGGCTAGCTGGATGAGTGTCGTTGAAGTGGACGGAGGACGAGAAGAGCGGCGTGACTCAAATCGATGGAGGAGCGGAACGGTGGGAGCACAAGCAGCTTCGAGAGATTGAGTGAGAATGAGCGACTTAGAAAGCTTGAGGATAACAAATGACCTAACTCAATGGACGGTTGGATTAGATCTTAACCAATTCAACGGTCCAAGTAATTTCTAATTATAAATTTAAAAAAAAAAAATATATATATATATATAATATTCGGTTCGGTTCGGGATTACAAACGCTTTCAAAGCTGTGGCCGAATCCCAAATCGAAACTTTCTGGACGGGTTCGGTTTCGGGTACCGAATTTTTCGGGAAATTCGGTTCGAGCATTTTTCGATCAAATTTTGGGACAATTCGGGATTTTCGGGAAAAAATTCCACCCCTAATTGTGACAGGTGGCTCACTTACCTAATATTGAAACGCATTACCAACAATATTATCACAATATAAAGCTATTTATTTTCACTTGTAAGTGAATAATTTTAATATCGATTTTTGTGGATGCCAAATTCAAATAGTATTATAATTAATACATTCTATGAATTAGCCCAAATCTTCAATTCTATCGTATTAAAAAGACAATTTTAGTAAACTTTTAAAAATAGTATTTTGTAATTTTATGATTAAAAATGAAAATAACAAACAAATTTTGCTTTATTTTTTTTATCAAAAAATGTGCCTGATAATTTAATTCGCAAAATGATCTTTTTAGACAAAATGTTTTGAACATTTACACAAACATGAAACAGAGGTTATATAAGCTAGATTTATATACAATGTTCATAGTTGTCAAAATTTTGATGGTGTTCAATTGCTGATTGTTCAAAAGATAGAGATGCCGAAAGCTAGATTTATGTACATAAGTTGATAGTTATCAAAGGAAGGCAGTGTTCAATTGCTCATTGTTCAAATGATAAACATACTACGAAAGCTAGATATTTGTACATATGTTCATAGTTATTGAATAGTTGGCATTGCTTATCTGCTCAATGTTCACGAAGATTTTTCTTTATCATCTTTGATCTTGCTTGTTTGCAAATGAGCATCTTTCTCTTGGTCATCATGTTGTTGAAGTGATGCCTCTTCTTTTTTGCTTTGTCCGCGAGATCATGTTGTTGAAGTGATGCCTCTTCTTTTTTGCTTTGTCCGCGAGTTTTTTCTTACTTGCTGTATATTAGGAATTAGAATCAGTAAGTACTCAATATAAAAATAAAAAATAAATGAACAATTTTTCAATCTATTTAACTTGTTCCAAACCTCATCAAATCAACCAAGAAGTATAATTCAGCGAGGATAAAATTTTCACTTTCTTTAATCAAAATCAATTCTTATTGTCTTCATGTAGACATGTAAATTTCAGTATCATAAAATGGGTTACGATTTTAATTGGAGAAGACTCCAAGGACCCTAATTACCATTACCATGATGATTGATGTCATGAGAGAAGAATAAGAAAAGTGGAATATGAAGCCCAAGACTTAAATGTTTATGCAAGTCAAATAAACTCGAAAACTAATATCATGTTCCTCAAACATAACTAAAAGATTACTAATTGGATGTATGTATGCTCCAACATTAAGTTATTAACCACATTGTTTCCTATCATGTCATTATTTGTGTAAAGTTAATGAAAAATGGGTTGAGCATGCAAACAACTTGTTTTAGAAAAATTACAAGAAAATTGCAAAATTCTTCCAAAAAGCACATAGACAATTAGGCTAAAGTACGGACATCTCGCTCTGTTTAAGAAAATTCAAACCCACTACAATTTGACAAAAATTCACGGACTAGTGCAGCAATCTCTTGACATGTCCCTTATAAGATACAACAGTTCAATTGAATTGTTGTTTGACTTGTCCCCACCAACAACTCGTAAACTCGATTGTCCTAGGTAAGGCCCAACCGAGTTAACATGGAATTAATGAGCAGGAGGAAAACATCGTCACTGCCAATTCAATCATCACCACTATCGGCAATGCTCGCCGGAGCTGAACACTCGAGACCCACCGATCCAACCGCCGCCGCCGCCACAAACCCACTTTAGATGAAGACTTCAATCCAAACCTCTCATGGTTTCACTCTGAAATGCCCTCTTTCTCTTCCCCACCTCTCCCTCCTCTCACCAAGCCTAACAAACGCCTCGCCGGTACCAAGCGTCCCTGCGTCGTCCAGTCTCTTCTTAAGCTCTGCTCGCAGGGCCACCTCTCGCAAGCCCTCTCCTCCCTCGACCTTTTAGTCCAAAGGGGTATCCGTTTACCCGCCAAGACTCTCGCTTTCCTCCTGCAACAGTGCGGCGCCGCCAGGTCCCTCCGAGAAGGCAAATGGGTTCACATCCATTTGAAGCTCACTGGATTCAAGCACCCCTCTACGTTTTTAGCAAACCATTTGATAAATATGTACTTTAAATGTGCCGATGATGTAGAAGCCCGCAGGGTGTTTGATAAAATGTCTGTGAGGAATTTGTACTCTTGGAACAATATGCTTTCTGGGTATGCTAAGATGAGGAAGTTGAGTGAGGCCAGGAGTTTGTTTGAAAAAATGCCGGAAAAGGACGTCGTGTCGTGGAACACCATGGTCATTGGTTGTGCTCAGAGTGGAGTTTGTGATGAGGCTTTGAGGTTTTATAGAGAATTAAGGAGATTGTCAATTGGTTTCAATGAGTTTAGTTTTGCGGGTGTTTTGACTGCTTGTGTGAAGTTGAAGGAATTGGGGCTTACTAGACAAGTTCATGGGCAGGTTTTGGTTGCTGGGTTTTTGTCAAATGTTGTGCTTTCTAGTTCGGTTGTTGATGCTTATGCCAAGTGTGGGGAGATGGGAGATGCGAGGAAAGTGTTCGATAGCATGCCTGTGAAGGATGTTCTTGTTTGGACAACATTGGTTTCGGGGTATGCGAAATTTGGTGATATGGAATCAGCTAGTGAATTTTTCAATCGGATGCCCGAGAAGAACCCTATATCGTGGACAGCTGTGATTTCCGGCTATGCTAGAAATGGTTTGGGGCATGAAGCCCTTGCATTGTTTACAGAGATGATGATGTATCAAGTTAGACCTGATCAGTTTACATTTAGTAGTTGCCTTTGTGCTTGTGCTAGTATAGCTTCACTTAAGCATGGTAAACAAGTACATGCGTCTTTAATACGAAGTAATTTTAGACCCAACACAATTGTTGTGAGCTCTCTTATCGACATGTATTCAAAATGTGGGGATTTGGGGGCAGGAAGACGAGTTTTCAAGCTCATGGGTGATAAGCAAGATACTGTATTATGGAACACATTGATATCTGCCTTAGCGCAGTATGGTAATGGTATAGAGGCAATGGGGATGTTTGAGGAGATGGTCAGATCAGGAGTGAAGCCAGATAGGACCACCTTTGTGGTCATTCTCAATGCATGTAGTCATTCTGGTCTAGTGCAGGAAGGGCTTAGTTTTTTCCAGGCCATGACTAGTGATCATGGTATTGTTCCTGATCAAGAACATTATGCATGCTTAGTTGATCTCTTGGGTCGAGCTGGACATTTTGACGAGTTAATCAACCAGCTCAAGAATATGCCATGTAAAGCTGGCGATCAAGTTTGGAATGCATTACTCGGTGTTAGTAGAATTCATGGAAACACAGAGCTGGGAAGAAAAGTGGCCGAACACCTTATTGAGTTGGAGCCTCAATCTTCTGGTGCCTATGTACTACTTTCAAGTATATATGCCAAACATGGGAAATGGGAGTTGGTGGAGAAGGTGAGACAGCTTATGGATGAGAGACAAGTGAGGAAAGAGCGGGCCCTTAGCTGGATAGAAGTTGAAAATAGAGTGAATGCGTTCACTGTATCGGATCGGTTGCATCCTCTGAAAGAAGAAATATACTCAGTTTTGGAACAATTAGCTGGCCAGATGGAAGAAGATGTTTCGGTACCTAATTCTGTGAGGTAAAAGTTTGATGGTTTGTTACTTTGGGGTTTGAATAGGGAGAACTGGTGATATATATCCATTTTGTAGTTCGTAACATGTTTTTAAGCTACCGTTTTCATATTCTTTAGATTTGAATCTCAAAAAAAATGATATACGTGCGAGATCTGTTCAATAAAATCTAAATTTCTGATCGCATGGAACGTATTGTGTTTAGTTTTTGCATCATTTGCTTCTGTTTATTGATTAAAGACTACCACACTTGAGGGGCTTTACCACTTACAGTCTTACACTAAATAAAAATTTTCAACTTTTCAATTATGTGCATGCAACTGAAAACTTGCAAAGTATGCTTATTTCTCATTCAGATTACAAGAAGTGAACATGGGTAGAAACTATTAGGCATGGGGTGGGCTTCTATTTAAATTTAGTTTGTCGAATTGGATTCAGGCTTTTTGCCTTCGGTAGCCAAATCGGCTCCAACATTCGAACATTTTGTGCCTGTCTAGTATTTGGTTTTCTGCTTCCTCTGACTTAATGATTGTGTACATAGATCACTAGAAGTATCTATAGCCGAAAAGAAAAGACGAAAAGGATAGAAGATAACAGATTGAGAGGCTGATCAAGATTAAAGAAGTAATACAAAAAGTTTGATAAGTGATATTGCATATAAGAGAAAAGAATGGAAAGAAAAGTGAAAGGTTGAATTAATGCTGCTAAAACTGTGGCAGCTGATGTTCTGCTAAACCTCTCAAGAAAGTTTCATAATGTCATCAACCCCTTGCTAAATGATTCTGTTCTGTTTCTATTTCAATCAAGATTGCAGGTGATCCTTATCCTAAATACGAACTTACTCTATAGAGTTCGGATCTAAGGGGAACTATTTTCACATGGCATGCCCCATAAAACTACATGGTTTTAGCTTCTTGTCAATATTCTTGCTTGTCTAATCTAGGACTGTCGTTGCGGACCATTGCTTTTGCTTGTCTAATTTTGTTCATATGACCTTCCAGTTCATTCACGTCTTTGCTCTGACTGAAACGTTTTCCAGATTCATGACCATTCTCAAGCATTAACATTCTCTTTGTCAAAAAAATTTCAAAACCTTTTGCTGAAACAGTAAAGAAGACCGTCTGATCGGAGGATGCTTTAGCGATGATTACTGATTACATGACAGGTAAACATTGTTCTTACCTTCAAAACAGTGTTTAGAGTTCACATTCAACAGATGTGGTGTTTTATTCCTTGTCAATTTCACTGGTGTTAAAGCCATAATTCTTGCAATTTCCTTCAATTATTCAGCGTTTGTGCTCTGACTTTATTAGGTGGGTATCCTTTTTGGCCATCGTTTATGGCTGAATCCAAACAGTTATCAAACTTCACAAAGAGGTCCTAATGTTGCTATTCGACTCGATATGTGTAACATGAATCGAGTGGAATAGTAACTGTACACTGTCGTAAAAAGTGGCGAGCAAAAATATTCTCGAAATGATTAAAATAATACAGTTTCTTGTCAAGTGAAACAATAAACGAAGGATGGATATCAAAGTCAACGGCTTATAGAGCTTAGGACAGCCATACAAGTGGACCAACCAAAGAAAACAAATCAAATATTGATGAACACAATCGGACCATTAAAACAGATACATCGATTGTGACAATCCACCAATACTTCAATCAAACCGGCGACCCACCAAGATAAAAGATTGTTGCATTTCGTCCTGTTCTTAATCAAACCTTGAAGAAATTTTAAATATATTTATGCACTAATAAACAAAGTAAACTATTTCCGCAAACCCTTTTTCTCACTCCACATTTTCTGTTTATATTTTATTTTCGGATTGAATAAATAAAAGAAAAATTAAGGAACAAAATTAACAGAGTGAACCGAAAGAAAAAAAGATGAGCGGAAATCATTTGATATAAACAATAGTCAGTTTTTGTACACATGAATAGGTCTTGCAACAATAAAAAGTCCGTTTTCTTCACGACTTCCTCTGTTTACAACCAGAAGGGGTAGTAGAAAAAGTTCCTTCTTGTTCTTCTATTTTCATATTGGAGATGGGTTCCGAGGTCTCGAAACAGGTAGAACGGAGAAAGGCGATCGCGGCGGAGAAAAAAACACTGTGTGATCTTCACCAGAGCTGTGGTGAAGAGTTTCCATCATGTGCCTACAAGCCTTCAGACAGAAAAAATTGGATGGCTGGGGTCAACCCTGATAAACTTCACATAAACAAGATCGTATGGCCGGGAACTCACGACTCTGCCACCAACAAGATTGGAGTTCCATGCATCACTAGGCCTTTTGCTCAATGCCAAAATCTCTCCATCTACCAGCAGCTCGAGAAAGGCACTAGAGTTCTCGATATTCGAATCCAGGAGGACCGAAAAGTCTGCCACGGAATCCTCCTCACTTACAACATTGATGTTGTGATCAACGACGTCAAGAAGTTTTTATCGGAAACGCAGTATGAGATCATAATACTCGAAATCCGAACTGAATTTGGACATGAAGATCCACCTGAGTTTGATAAGTACTTGGTTGATCAGCTCGGCGAGTTTTTAATCCCCCAGGACGATCATGTTTTCGACAAGACTATTTCAGAACTGCTGCCGAAGAGAGTGATATGCGTTTGGAAGCCGAGGAAGTCACCTCAGCCAAAGGCAGGGAGTCCTCTGTGGAATGCAGGGCATTTAAGGGACAACTGGATTGACACGGATTTGCCATCCACCAAATTCGAGAGCAACCTGAAGAATTTGAGTAATCAGCCGCCGGCTTCATCGAGGAAGTTCTTTTACAGGGTGGAGAACACGGTCACGCCTCAGGCCGATAACCCGGTTTTGTGTGTTAAGCCTGTGACCAGAAGGATTCATGGATTCGCGAGGCTGTTTATAACTCAGTGCTTCTCTAAAGGTATTGCGGATAGATTGCAGATCTTTTCTACAGATTTTATAGACGAGGATTTCGTGGATGCTTGCGTTGCGGTTACATATGCAAGAGTTGAAGGGAAAGCATGAAGTTTCCATGTCTGTGCAGTCTTGTTCTTGTTTTCTTGTTGATAAATCTTCCTTCCCACCGTGTAATTCAATCCTTTTATTTATGTGTTCGTAATGTAATATATGAAGGGTGTAAAGAAGATGTAGTGATCTCACATTCTTCATTCTTGTTGGAGAAGAAACCTTTTCTGTGAATAAAAGTTGATATTTCTCTAATCTCTGCTGTAAAACTACATATTCTAATGAATCTAATCATCTGCAGCGTGTAAGTTTGAGCTGGAGAATGTGCATACATGCCGGAACTCCGGAACTTCCAAGTACTTTTGAGTTGTTCATAAAAGTTATGTTCTACTAATTGTTCTAAAAAATTTCGCCTACTGCCGCCTAGGCCCTGCCCAGGCGCTAGGCAGGCGATTACCAACCCGATTAACCCTTATGCGTTGAAAAATTAAGGAAAGGCGCCTAGGCGAACGCTTAGCCCGTCTAAACCTACCTAGATCGCGATCCTCATTTAGATAGTGTTTGAGACTTATTGAATACTTGGATGAACACTCATTATATATTTGTATTCCAATATGTTAGAATACTTTAATATGTCATCTTATTTTGCAATTTATGTAGCCTAATACAATTATGTATTATTGTAAGTATAAATATGCACTTATTTACGATATATAATAAATTTACTTAAATCTACCTATTCCACCACCTAGGGTCCCGCCTAGCTGTATAAGTGCTAGGCCTTAACCCACTGCCTAACTAGTGTCTAGCCTGTTTTAGAACATTGGTTCTACTTATAACCAAAGCGCTTATGAGTAAAAGTGTTTCCCGCATACACTAGAGAATGATAATTTTGTTTACAAATCTTAAGTGGAAAATAAACCTTGGAGCTGCAATTTTTTCTTCAATAAGCATAAAAAATAAACGGTCCTAATTGAATTAAGGAAATAATTTTCTTACTTACCAATCTAATGAATAAAATCAGCGTTGGAGCTGTGATGGGTCAAGGAAAAAGGAAATAGTAATAATTTTCAAATGAGAAAAGAATTATCCTTGGGTAAATAAAAGTAAGGAAAAGACTTCCACCTAGTAGCTCTTTGCTTTTTCCGACCAACTAACTGTTGATCTAGTAGTAAATCCTACTTCCAATATTATAAGAAGTTCTAAGTTGGAATCCCCTCTTCCACAATGATAAAGAAAAGAAAAAAACTGCGAGAACCTAAACAACCAATTACTAGTGTCCAAATGAGTCAACAAAAACTGTGTCCATAAGTTGTATTTACTTGCAATTACCACCCTGGAAGTGGAAGGTTCATTCAAGTGCAACATATCAGATTGATCAAGCATAGAAACGACATTGATGGGTGATGAGGCAGCTTCCCTTTTCATTGGCATTACGTACAAGATTCACTTATCTCAAACTTGTACCAACCAATCACTTTACAAGAAGCAAAGTAATTACTTTGATCATGTGGTGAGGGAAGATTAAATTAGGACTCAGGAGCATGCCATTCAATACAACAAAGTGAAGAGAAGATAATCATAAGTGTTCAGGACACTACACTGAATTACGAGTGCAATATAAACACCGTTGAAGTTACGTTTTATGCGTTTGGGGTATACAAAACAGAGGAAATATTGGACCGGATGAGAAAACTAGATCAGATGTGGATATATGTCTAGTGCTGCTATATTGCTGGGAATTAGACAAAGAAAGGTCTACTGCGGCCTATTTCCTTCTACAGAATCTCTGTTTCAGGTCTTCCTCGAGTCGTTCGAATATTGGTGAGAATTCTCCTGCAATTAACATAAAACCATATCTTATAAATCTTCCATTGCAAAACATTTGGCGAGAGGTCCTGCAAGTTAATACGTGGGATGTGATGAACTATTCTTTCCTTGGGAAATTAAATGAAAGATACGCATGAAATAGTGAAAAACAACATATGATTACTTATTCTGTGATCATCACTGTCATCCTTAATGAGAGTGTTTAGCATATTTCTTGGAGCTGCCTCAAAGTTGAACAAATACAACTATTAAAATTTAGTGACATCCAACTGATTTTAACGGAAACTAAAGTGGTTCAGAACAAGTAACATATGAAAAAGTTCATGGACACATGAATGCATTTCAAAATGGTCAACATAGGCAGTCAAGACATTTGTAGGTCAATCATTTTGGCGATCAAAATCATTCAGACGCACAAGGAAAGATAGATTGCACTGATGTTGGTGACAGTTCAAAGCTAGTAAAAGGAAGTAAACACATCACCAGAGCGTAGTACAATGGTTTATGTTAATAGAATTTGATAAATAGGTAGGTGAAAACCTGAAAGTTGACTATCTCTCTGCTGTAGTGAGCCTTTCACCAGAAGTGTCCCTCGGTTTTGCTGAAAGACTTATAAAAGGTCGTACCCAGTGCACAAGGCTCCTGCTTTACGCAGGGTCTGGGAGAGGTAAATGTCGGCTAGCCATACCCCCATTTATGGAGAGGCTGCTCCCAAGTCTCAAGCACAAATTCTAAGGACAACGTCACCACATACAAGCCAAGTAATGACAGCATCGTACTGAAACACGAAAACCTAGATGAATTGAAGGCAAGTTCAAACAGCTTGAACTTGTGGATGCCTCTTGCTTATCTTCACAACTGATAACTCTATCACAATCTTGTGACTCACCCCTTCAAGATTGCATCCGTGTGATCTTTTGTCATTGTGATCTGTTAAAAGTTAGATAGTGCTGCTTGTAAGTACAAACCAGTATCACTTGATGAATAAACAGAATAACAAATTAACAGATGAGCATATATCGACAGTAAATGAAGATGTGTTCAAGTTACATGATGCACCACTACAGCTGAAAAAGGATTTGGTTGATTCCAATACATGTATGGCACCAAATTTACGGTCAAGGCCCCGCAAAGTAGACAAGGTGCGGCATTACATGTCCACATTAGTAGGAACAAGACAGTAACAAAATGGAAGAGAGGATAAGAAGTATGAGATGAAGCGATGTAAGTCAGTCCTCTCGGTCCTCAGAGATGCTGATTGTATTCCTTAATAAACGCGTATTTGCTTATTATAGAAAAAAGGATATTTGACCAAAAAAATAGAAACAAAACAATCTGCTAGTGCAAACTGTGGCATAAAAAATGGAAGGAATTTTAAAATCTTTTCAGCTCACTGCTCCTGGGATTGCAACCCTAAGCCATAATGTTGTACTAATTATTCAGCAAATTACATGTGCAGGGAAAGACTAACTACTATTCATCTCTCAATAATTTGAATTGTTCATTAAAAACTCAAGAAAATAAAATCTTGGAGGTCTCCAGTTGACATTAGAATAATGGCATCATTGCTACCAGCCCTCGTACCAAAATAGTTCCTCCTCTCCTCTAAGAGCAGGTTTGTCATTCAAACAATCAAATGGATGGGGGTTTGTCAGGGTGGGTCTTAGGGTTTAAGGGAATCCTTAACCTCATGTTGAAAACTCACAACTTCCAATTTGCAACATTCAGAATATCATGTAGATGCTTAAAATACGTGGTTGAAACAATATAAAAGAAGGACAAACAAACCTCAAGCATGAAAGAGAGATTCTTCTTCACAGCCACATGAGATGAAAGTAACTTGTTGGCAGGAGGCAAAAAGGACCAGGCCAGCCCCCACCCATCGAGATGTTTGGCTTTGGACAAAATCAGTTGCCCACTCACAACTTCTTGTCACCTGCTCAGCACTTTGAAGTGCTTCTAATCATACTACATTCACCAACAAAAGTGCTTCCAGTCTTACGGCATTCACTAACAAAAATGCTTCTAATCATTTTAAAAGCGTTTCTAGTGTATGGGCCAACTCTACAAGCGCTTTCTGATAATTGTGGGTTAGGCAGCCGAAATTTGGCGCTTTCTGATCATCGCCCACATTCTAGCTTGCGACTTCAAAGGCCCATGAGCTGAGTTACATTATCGTGGTCTATAGAATACGATTGTTAATGGGTCAGCCAACTTCAGTTTGGGTTTAATTTTATGCTTACGGACTCCAATCTCTCCACCCACCCACAATGACGTGGCGCTACACACGTTTCGTTTGAGGTAACGTTAAGGAGATTGCATATTTATATTATATTAATGTATACTCACATATGATAAGCAATGCAATGCATACAATCAACATTCAATAAGAGAAATTTATTAATTCAGTAATGTATAGGCATCACTTGTCGTCTAACGTGATACATAATTGTTGTCTCCCTAACATTTCTATTTTTTACGTGAGTGTTTTTGTGTGGCCCGTGTCACTTGTCATAGGTTGTTTGCCTTTAGGCTTTTGGTTCGGGACTTTGGAAAACATGAGCTTGAAAAATTCTTAGTGATATAATGTAGTGGTAATTTTTTTTTTCTTTCCATTTTCTAGTTTGAGATTTTAAGTTTGAGCCACTTAAATTGCAATTTCGTACTCAAATTTTATTGTTGACTCAAATTCCCCATCTTTTAGAGTACAATAACGCTATTTAAAAAACCATGACATTATATAATAGAGAAGAAATTTCATGCAACGGGAATGTCATTGTGATGGTATCCAAAGTTGATAAGAGAGATATACAGTATACTTATAGTTGTACTACAAAGTGATTGCAAAGTTTTTGCTCCATGAGATGAGTTAGATGTTTTTTATCCATAGAGGCACATTGTCCCTACAAACAGTTTTTTCCTTTTTCTGTCAAGTTACTATCCTTACTCTCCAGTGCATTCCTCACTGTTATGCAACTTCAGTAAGGATCGATACAACTGATGAAATCTAAACCCAAATATGTTCAAGACCAAGGAAAAATCTATTGCAAAAACATAAGAATTTCAACTTGTATAGAAACACTATCAAACCCTTCAAGAAACTCTCATGTTTGGCAAATTGTTTTGATATACAGTCCCACTAACAATAAACAAGACTACAAACATCAATTGAAAGCACTAATGACTAAGTTACTAATTTGTAATCAAAATGAGAGAAATTAAATTGATGAAGAATTGTATTAAGACGAAATCAAAATGAGATTTATGTTAAAGTTGTTTACTAAACTATCTAAAATTGAAGTAGGAATGATAGATAATTTCTTATAAATTGTTTACAAGTTTATTTGAATCGGAGTTAAAACTAGGTTGATTACTGTATTACCCTTTTGTTAAACATATATTTTAGATTAGTACAAAGATGACAGTATCCGGCAAAAGAGAGATCGTGTCTTGCCCTTCATGGGAATCTGTGAACCTCCTCCCTCCCACCTCTATCTTTCCACTTCCACGCTGCCCCATAGGCACCTCTGAGTCTCTCTACTGTAAATTATCCATGTCTTAATTTTGGGAGAAGCTATTCTGATTTGAGGCTCTACCAAATTACTAATCTCATGCAGAGGGATAAGAGCCACGATATTTGATGGTCTTGCTGGTGTTGTGGTGGTGAAGGCACAAGGAAGTCGGTGAAGAGAGAGATGAGGGGAGGGAGTGCTACAGGAGAGGACGCTCTTTTTTCTTTCGATAGAGTTGAAAGCTCCAACAAAATTTTTATCAAGATCCATTTAAACACGTTATCTTCCACTTTGTATGTTTTATTTTATTTCAATACATATCGTACTTCACTTCTTCGGAATTCAAATAACATTTTCATATGAGTAAAATCCAAATTCCGAAAAATTTAAGAGTCTGATTACAGATTTTAAGTGGACCCAACTATTATTTTCATTTTCTAAATACTAAATGAACACCTGAATGCCTTGAAAGGAGGGTAATTCCTTTCTTCCCACTCCATTCCAGATCGGTAAAACACACCATTTATGAGTGACAAAAGTTTGGCACACAAGTGGAGTGGTTGATGAATAAGCTCCCCACAGTAGTTAGTTGCTCAAACGTTCTCATCAGTCTGATAAAACTAGTCTCAACCTTGTTCAATCCAAGAAGCTCCAACGTGTCAAAGTCATTTGTCTAATTTAATTAAATTAACAGTTATCTTTTAAGATTTAATTAAAGTGGGATCTTGAAGTTCCCCCTGGTAAGAGCATTCCCAGCAGGGGTTTTATTTTGCATGAGACTATTATATTTTCAGCCTTACCAAGATCTTTCATCTCCAATGAACCGTAAAATAGGGTTAGATTCACCACTAAAATTAGCAATTTCCTTTCTTGTGTAGCATAAAATCCTGCTACATGTAGCCCCAAAAAACAGTGGGTCCCACAAAATAAGTAGCAACTTATGTGAGTAAAAATTCTATCAATGTCCCTCCACTTGCAAATACACTTATACTCTCTTTTTATTATTTTTTAATTTTTTTTCTTACTTATTTTTCTTACAATTTGGCTAATTAATGATTGTTTTAAATTCCATAAGAATTAAAATTTCAAATTGATTTAATGTTCATGAACATTGACGAGTGAAATTTTCAAATAATTTTTTTCAAAATTATACGATACTAATTTAGCAATTGGTGCTAGGTAAATTGTTGTGTTATACGTGAAAATCAAATTATTTCAAAGAGCGAAGTAGGTATTTGCTTCTTTCAACTGATGAGATTGAAATAAAGAAATTTAATCCAACAAATAATTCATAAATAATGAAATCTTACTTTGTTACAATTTAAACATTTTAGGTTAAAAAGTTCTTAAAAAAAATTAAGATAAAACGTCTACAAAGAAAGTAAAAAGTGGAGATGCTTTTAAGGAAGTGAAAAGTGGGGCCAAGGAAAACAAATAGAACAAATCATGAATTCACTGCACCTAACTTTATCTGTATATCCAGTGTAGGGAGGGGAAAGTGGGACCATCGGAGGAAAGTGTAGTCCTATCCATATAAACAGCACAGCTGACTCAGCACAGTACAGCATCCTATGGATAAGCTCATAAGTCCTTTGCATAATTCCGAGAACAGTTTCTCATTGTGTACCATCCATGTTACTAATTTTGCATTGGTTGATCGTTTCAAACAAAAACATTATATTATATCGACAGTGCAGATGATGTTTTTATGTATCATTCATCCATGCAATTGTTCGAGATAGAGATGTTTTTGGTACAATATCCTGACTAAATCTCGAATATATGTAATCATCGACAACAAATATTGAAGTCGTATTGCAGAATCAAACAGAAGATACATAATATCCACTTCTATATAAACTAACACAAACACCTTCCCATTTATCCCATTCCTCAAGCCCTCCAATACAACCTCCCACTCACTTCACTCCTCATCTCAATCTCCTCCCTCAAAATCTAGCACTTTAAAAACCCCAGAGTTGAATCTCTTCCTACCAACCCAAACAGATTCCAAAGATTCAAACCGACGACGTTTGAAAACTTCATGGCTGCAGCAGCTAGCTCAACTTCCTCACTGTACGAGGTTCTTGGCCTTCCAATGGGCGCAAGTGGTCACGAGATCAAGGCAGCCTACAGAAAGCTAGCCAGAAGGTGCCATCCTGACGTTGTCGCCATGGACCAAAAGCAAAACTCTACTAATGAGTTCATGAAAATCCATGCAGCTTACGCAACGCTATCGGACCCCGATAAAAGAGCAAACTACGACAGGGATCTTTATAGATGTCCCCAACCTTTCCAATCTTCGTACTCGTCGGCGAACATGGCTGCTGCCGCTTCGGCAATGGCGGGGTCTTCGCGACGGACTAATAGGAATTGGGAGACTGACCAATGTTGGTAGCTCAAAACAGAGGAAACAGAGGACCCCCTGTTTATTATGTGCATGTATAAATGTCTGAAATGCGTTTTAGCTTTGTGATTTGTTGGCTTATGAATATTGTTTGTTGCTAATGGGATAAAAATCAAAATCCTTTTTTTTTTTTTTGAAAAAATATTACTATTATTAAGGAGGAAGAGGAAAGTTAGAAACTATCACAATAATTTAAAGAAATTGAGAGTTTTGAACTAGGTTCCATGAGTAGAACCCCTACACCCTATCCACTAAGATATTGGATCACATCCAGATAAAATCAATCTAATTAAGCGCCATGCATTTGGCTGCTAGAGTTTTCATATTTTAGATCACTCTATTTGTGGAAAAGTAATACGTTCAGATAAAATCAAACTAATTAAGCGTCATGCATTTGATTGCTAGAGTTTTCATATTTTAGATCGCTTTATTTGTGGAAAAGTAATACGTACTTATTCTATTAATTATTACGACAAACAAATGATCAAACATCTTGACTACAAAATGTGTCTCCTCTAAACACACCATAAGCCATCTATGCAACAATTCATATAAATTTTCATACTAAATTTAGGAGAGATTTAGTTGAAACAACAACAAAATCGACACTATTAATGGTAAAGATTAAAATAATAACTCAAGTTGTTCGTTTGTGGCCACAAATCAGTCTGTTATCAACACTATAATTCATCACAACCAGACATAAATCTAAGGGGTGCACCTCCCTTTCATGTCAATGTTCCATTTCCTTTTTCTTTGTGGTACATGTACCCATCTACACTGTTGCTTGGACCCCACGCAATCAGTCCGTTGTCAACCATAACCTTATCCGATTCCAATTTAGTTGCTCGTACTATGCAACCTTTAAAGATTTATTTGTTCAACAATTTTGATACTTTCTGTTTGTATGATTGAACTGTTAACTGGTAATCAAGATAATCAAGAGACATTACTGGTGTGGAATAATGAAAAATTGAGATATTAGTTAAGGCGACGTGTCCATTTCTTTACATCCGAGTTAAATAACTCTCACATAATTAAAATGATTTAAAATAGAATATCGATTCACCACTTAATATTACGGTTTGATGGTATTTCTTTTCACTTGTAAGTAAAAGATTTTAGATTTCATTCTCGTCAAAGACGAATTTGAAACCACATTATTGCTGCTAGCCCATAGCATATCATTTGTTAAAAAAAAGAAAAAAAGAAATAGAATATCTGTCAAAAATAAAAAAACATTCAATTCGAAGTTAAACTATTTCCAAGACCAAAAAAATAAGTTAAACTATTGGGTTGAAAAGTCCAATATTTAAAGGCAGCCGCAGTTAAGAATCAACAAATTTTCCATCAAGCCCAGTTAATCATCACAGTTCACCAAATTTCATGAGGATGAACCATTTGATCTTGGGCCTTAAAACATAAATTTTGGAATATTGCTACTCACTCTTCGTACCAAGAACTTAGATCACTATATCACTCAAAAAGATATTTAGAATTATAGAGTGAATTGAAGAGAAGAGTTCGATGTTTTAACTTGCAGCTTAAATGATTAGGAGCCAACTACTCATGTATCGGAGGTTCTTTGTTCGATTAATCTACTTCCTGTGTCACTTGTATTTTAAAAAACATATAATTAGAGCCAAAAAAGAACTCACAAGGATCATGGTTCGCATTTGTATATGAATGCTAAATTTCTGGATCAAATTACACGTATAGTAATATAGTATTTGCTATACAGCTGAAACCTAGGCTAAACATCCACACATATACATATTACATCAAGTGTGGAAGAAGGACAATATTAATTAGCTTAAACTAGCAATTGAGCCCTCGAGCTATGTTGCTGGTTTTAAGACTGTTTAGGGTGATATTATTTTACATATAAAATGTTTACACTCAAAAAGATGATTTTAAAGTGTTATTTACAAAGAGATGATACTATTTACAACCAGCTCAAATTACTGACAATCTGCTCTTTGAGCAAGTTTTGGACGAACCTGAATAGTAACGATGAACATGGTAGTCATACAGATTAGGAAGCCATCCATCTATAAGCTAGGCCTCATAAATTCATCTGCTTCCACTATTCTTCTAATGACTGATAAAGAAAGCAAAGCTGGCAGCTTTGCTGTAGTTCCAGTAAGTACTCCCAAACCATATGACCAATAAAGTCTTTTAAAAGGAATCCCCAATTTTCTCAACATAAAAGAAAACCATAAAATATATCGCAAGCCTGTTGGTATAGATATGGTGTTTTCCTAAAGTATTGTACTTCAAATGTTGAAAAGTTAATGTGGTTTTTACACGGTAAGCAAACACTTTCAATCTACATTTCCTCCCATAATGCATAGTCAATCAAAGTCCTACTCAAGACTAAAATTAAAAATCCTATTTATACAATACCAAAATCAAACATGCAGATATTCAAATTCAACAAAAGGGTTTATTTAAAAACTGATATTACTATTTTCTTGAGCCTTACATGACCACGACGAAATAATAAGCTCAGAAATACTATTTGAATATGAATTTGAACGATGACAACTACCTCTTTCTGTGAATTCAAAGCTGGAAATTGGAAAGAAAAAAAACTATAAATTTTCAATCACAAAATTCAAATTCCATACAAAAGACCAAATTTTCATACATGCAATTCAACTACGATTGTCATTATTGACTATTGCAGAATTAATTACCAAAAACAACATTATACTATGAGTGAGGATTATATCCCTCAAACATAGCCGACTCACTAATTGCCAAAAGAAAAAGCAAAAATCACTTGAGAATAAGCGAAAGATCTACCGAATAATAACAGAAGCTGTCTCTACAAAAACCAACAATTTGGTGAGCAAAAACACATCTTTTAACCTTATCTCTTCTTTTGACAGTAGTGTTCACAAACCACAATCACTGTCACACTCTCCACGTGATGTTACATTAAATGGGATAATCAAACACTCACATAAACCCATTTCTTTGATTCTTTTCCCCTTTGTCCTGGAAAATACGGGTGAAAAATATATGCATCTTTTTAAACAAAACTCTATAATTGCACACTAATTAGAGACTTGAAGGCTAATCTGCCATTCCAGGTGGAATTGTGTTTAAGGAGAAAAGCTGCACCAAAAGGCATGAACTGTGGTGCATTCATAGAACAGGGTACTTAAGTCTCACACCTATCTCAACAACTATCAAAGAAACGTAATATGTCTCCCAAAGCTTGAGCCTTTCTTGTCTTTGAAGTCACCGAAAGTTGAGTTTGGTTTTTGGTGCTTCTCTAATGACACTTTCATAATGTTTGTACCCCACATTCCAAGGTTAAAGCATAATTGATCGGTAATTATTTTGTGTCCATCACCACTTTCTCCTTTTCATTCTCTAAAAACATTATATAAAGTTTTCATTCTCTAAAAGTATTATATAATTGAATCCAATTTCAATTTTAAATAAAACCCATGATTCTGATCACGATCAGAAATTCTCCATCAAACCCGATTCAGCACAACGAAACATGACACAAATTCTACAATCATATCCCGACCTCAATTGAAATTCCGAATTGCATTTCTGAATTTCATGTAGTAATTGAACACAACCAATTGCTCAAAATTCCAAACATAATATGAAATCTTTTTTACACGTTTAACATGTATATTCTTATAACCAAACCACCAATTTTTTCTAGCACCCTTGATTCTTTTCCAGCGAACCACCAAATTTTACTAGAAAGCAAAGATTTTTGCTGGGTTTTTTAGATTGGACACAAAATCTCAATACAATACATAATATCAAAATTTGGAGGGGTGGATAAACCAAATTACCATATTTTTCCTTAAGTCCATTAAGAAATCTAGATATTTTAGTAGATGGGTTCTGAACAAAATCAAATATTCTTCCTGAATTTTTCAAATTAGACACTAAATTCTTAAAGAAAATGCAGAATATAAATGCAACTCTGACCAGAAACCTAATCAAATTAATTACTCATACATGTGAACATAAAATGTTGTTTTGTGGAATTGAGAGTGATTGACAGTGAAAATATGAAATCAACACAACATGCATGAGTTCTACAAAGGTTTCAGAGCTTACCCAATAAAGGACAGATCGGATTGGGAATATTAGGGTTTTGATGGAGAAGAAGAAGAGGAAGGGGAGAGAAACCCTAGACCCACCTCTGTCACTCTGCAAACTGCCCTCAACCCACTCTTATTGAGACCGACGGAACACCCTTTTTGCGATGGTCGACATGTGCACGGGAGTAGCGGTGGCAACTTGGAAGATGATTAACAAAAAAGATTTAATCAGAGGCCATAGAGATTCAGCGGAACAGAGAGAAAAAGATAATCCCAAACAAAATTCTAGAGAGAGAAGAGTTACCCTGAAATCAAAGCTAATTGAAGATTTTTCTTCGAATCGGGAGAACTGAGACGGAGAGAGAAGAGTTACCGTGAAATCAAAGCTAGTTGAAGATTTTTCTTCGAATCGGGAGAACTGAGACGGGATTCACGTTGTGCTTCCTGAAAAACTGTCGAGAGAGAATCGGGGCTGGGTTGGAAGAACGTATTGGAAGCAAAAGGAAGAGCCCAATTTTCATAAGCCCTCATTCTAGGCAGAAATGGAATGAAAGAAAGAAGCAGGGCAAAAGCGGGAGTACACTGTAGAATAAACAGTGTCCATAGAAACAAAGAAAGGGTAAAAACGGAAGAACACTGGCGAGCGAACAATGTTTCAACCGTTTTTCTCTTTTAGTATATACTAGAAATATGACCCGCGCGTTGCTGCGGGATTAGAAACCGTATTAAAAAAATATGTTTCAAGGCTATAAGAGATTGTTATAAATCGTTAATGTTATTTAAACTGAAAGATATTTGAACTTTTTGAAAGAATTTTACATGAAAAGCATAAATTGGGTGACCGAAATTTTTGATACAATCGATGTCATTGCAGACCATTTTACATTAAACGAAGAAGGTACGTAGTTGGACGCATGGTAGTTGATACGAAATCTATTATCAATGTATCCTGCAAAACATCACGGAAATAATAAAAAACAATTCTGACAGATGACAGTAAAATAGTGAGACAGACTTGTACCAAACGTACAAACAGGACAAATACTAATTAAGGGGAAAATAACCAAGAATAAAAAGATGAGGCTTTTCAAAGCTTACCAAATAGAATCACCAAGCAATTTGCCAGAGCATTAAGTGATTTTTTGCAATCCTTCTTCGTAAATTTACAAAAAAACACAGGAATAATTATATAACCAACTAATAAGCTAAAACGCTGATAGAAATTAAGAAGAAAGCATTGAAATGAAAACAATACAATATTTTAACACAAATTGAATGATTCAAATCTCTGTATAGTTATCAATAAAACAGGTGAGTGCATTTTCAACTGATTGGGTTATTTACTTTAGGTAGATTACACCCTTCACATGCTCGGTGAGGAAAACCAAAACCAATTAATATATTCATTTAATCCAATGATGCATCAAATATAAAAATTAAATTATACCTCTACTTTGTAACGTTTTGATTTTGTTTTATCTGCAGCTAAACCAAAATTTCGACGGTTCACAGTATAATTATGTGAAACCAGATAGCAACACCACGTAAACGTCATATTGGGTGTCCACACCCACACCTATCAATTTACACATAAATTTGAACTTTGAATTACTAGGGTTTCAAAAAGATTTGCACAAAAATTGAAAAAAGATGAATAAGTTAAAACAAAGTAATATCTACTGGCAATTGAGACTGACCCAAACCTGTTATCAAGCTCTGCTATACGAAATAGAAATGGGCCGCAAAGAGAACTGTGCAGTATTGACAAAGTCTAGAACAACCTGGAAATTTACAAAAGTCAAATTTACAGCTAAAGAAGCAATTAATTACTGAATTATAAAGAAAAATCTTCACAAAATAGTGTCTAGTTTTACAAATAAATGAAACCCAAATTAAATTTCTTGATAAAAACTAAAAGCTTGAAAGATTAACTGATTAAGAAAAAACGCATGAATCCTACCATAAAAAAGATGTAAGCTTTTGCATTGGCAAACGATTCATAATCTAAAATTGATATCTTAAACAGAACACATTAATCCAAGTCAAAAGTTCCCAAATTTAAATCAACCAATATGAACAAAATATAAAACATGGTTCATTGTTTCTCTTTGCATTTTAAATCACATGGTGTTTCCCAATATACTATTGTCTTAACATTTCTTATACTCATGCATTAGATAAAAAATGATACCATGCTAAAATTACATGGACTGCTTTATCACGGTTTAAGGAAGCAACCCCAAATCATAGTATCTACATATTTTTTCAGATTATCTAAAACACTTAAGCAAAACCATCACATCTCCAATGAAGCCATGTGAGGTGAGCACCTGAATCGACAATGAAGAGACAAAGAAATCAATCTTCGATCACCAAACAAAGATTCAAAACCAGAGCTGTGTAATTCATAAAAAAAATTGACAGAATTGATGAAAAAATTGACAGAATCGATTGAAGAATGTGCGAAAATTATTAAACCTGATCTTCTGGACGCGATGCGGTGGGGAGAAATCACTTCAACCAACAACCAATCATGCATCCATAACCTTCCAATACGCAAGAAATCGAAATAAAAATGGAGCTCCAAAAATCACACGAAACATAATTTAAAGTTGTGAATCAACAAAACATAGAATTCTGAATAGATCTGCTTGTCTAATAACAAATCAAATTGACAGCAGCAATTCTTTGTTCTACGTTCTTCCGCTGATGATCGGGCAATACTGTTGTTGACGTAGATAAAGGTAAAGGACACAAACCTATTGTTTGTACCATACTTGATCAATCCCGAAACTACCGAGCACCGGCCAACGCTATACTGTCAAGAACCCAGAAGAGTTCCCCTCCGACCAGGAGGCCAATCACTACTCGACACGTGTCAAGATTAGAAGCCAATCAGAGCGCAGCACGTGTCGACATCAAGAACCAATCATAACATGACACATGTCAATGTGACAAAGCTACAAGTTTTTCTATAAATAGGGGTCATTCCCCCACAATATTGCCTAATGCCATTTGTGTTAAATCATTCACAAGAACTCACTAAATTGAGAGCTTGATCCTTTGTACTTGTGTAAGCCCTTCACTACTAATAAGAACTCCTCTACTCCGTGGACGTAGCCAATCTGGGTGAACCACGTACATCCTGTGTTTGCTTCTCTGTCTCTATTCATTTACGTACTTATCCTCACTAGTGACCGAAGTAACCAAGCGAAGGTCACAAAACCTGACACTTTCTGTTGGTCCAAAGTCCTCACAGATTTTGTGCATCAACACCTATAACAACTAATTCAAATATATCCCTTTCAATCTATAAACTAATTCAAAGATCCGCTCTTCCTGGATATCTAAGGAAAGGAATAACATCTCTTATGTTGTCAATACCAGTAGCAAACAGAACCATCCGTTCAAATCCTAAACCAAAACCACAATGTTTGACAGCCCCGAAGCGCAGCAAGTCAATGTACCACTCATATGGCTCAGCAGCAAAGATAAAATCTTCTGCAACACATAAATGAAACCAAGTCATCCAACACCATCCAAAACCATAAAACAACACAGCAACGACACCAAAATTAAAAAATAAATAAATCCCACAGATTGGACTTTCACACTATAGAAAACATAACTTTCACAATATTAAAAAATCAATTTGTTGCAGAAAATGCGTAAAAAACCGAAATTATTTACCTTGAACATAATTGGCTTCCAAGCTTGTATACAGAAGCCCCAAAAAACGAAAAGCACAGTGACCTGAAACAAAACACAGAAGCAAATCATACAACCAAACAACATATCTAAGGATATAAACAAAACACCCAAAATTACAAAAACTAAATTCCAAAAAACGTAGAGCAACTCCTGTCGTATTTATAGCTTGTTGATGCTTCTATTGATCGGACCAAAATCCATTTACAAAGCCATTTTTTTGTCTAGGAAGTTTTAACTCTCCGAATTTAGCTTCTCTAAGTGGAACTGTTCTCCAAGAGACTTTTAAGTTTTAAAGCCACTAATCACATATATTTTTCTCTCAAACTTTTCTCTTTCATGATCATCGTACTTTTTTTTTTATGTTTGCGGTAAAATTTCACACGTGTGAATTGTTGTAACTAGTTTACTTTGTAATGAAAGCCACAACAAAATCAACTTAGCCTTTTGTTTTCTTTTTTTTTTCTTTTCTAGATGAAGGAAAACTATACTAGTTCTAGATATTAATTGTTCAAAATTATACGATTGAATAGTCGAGTCGGTATACATGCATGCAAATTGTGTGTATATGGCATTACCCTAGTCCGAGTAGAGCACGTACAAGAGAATCATGCATGCGATGCAACTTGGCCTTGACCTTAGTCTTTTTGGAATCTTCATTGCGCTTCCCATAGATTACAGCGTTACATGTCATGGCTTATACCTAACAAGAAGAAAAGGAGTGTCAAGGGTAATGATAGGGAGATCAAATATTTAAATCAAATTTACAAACCAGATGACATGGCTATTGATTATTGGATTATTATTTAAGGACCGATTAACGTATTTATTTTCTATTGGTGCACATCATTTGGTTTCCAAGTTTAGTTTAAAAAATTTAGTCTTTCTAACATTATTAATCCCAAACATCCATAGCGCCATGGAGCGAAATTAATTATGTCATGTTTGGTAGAGAAATCGATCAGCAGTGAAAAATCCAAAAGAGAAAATGTTTGCTACATGGGTATATGCATCTGTCATAGTACAATTTGACAATGCAATTTTGAATTGTTCTTGCGCAAAACAAACGTTTGTGACTATTCTAATTCCTTTATAAAGAAAGAGGAAAAAAACCAAAGGTTTTTACATATTGTTGGACAACTTCATGCAACAAAATATTATTTGAAACAACTTTTACTAACTTAATTAGATCTTGTGTTCCGTTCCCTAATAATGTGAAATACAATCATATGATAACTTTTTGTGTTGATTTCGTGCTTATTTTCAAAATGATATCGTTTTGTGTTTTAAAAAACAATATATATATATATTGGATATATTAAGGACAAGAACTAGGAGAATAAATTATTATTATTAAGAAGAGGGATATGATTCGAAATTGTTAAAATAAATTACAAAATGGAGAATTTCGAACTTGGGATGCATGAATAGAAACTCAACATCGTATCCCCTAGAATATTGGATAACATACAACTAGGAGATGCACCACGTAACAATGTGTACTATCTTAACTATTTTAAAAATTAAATTATATAATTGCGCAAGGAAATTTTGAAGTTTTTTATCCATCATTCTTGGAGATACACCACGTGACAAGTTTTATAACTTGAACACTTAATTATAAGTTGGAAATTTTTATCCGTTGACCATTACATGTGCTTAATATGTTCTCACTACTAGAAAATACTATTTGCTGACCAAATTTGACCAGATGAACGGTATTTCGTTGGGCCATGACATACCCCAACCTGGAATGTCCACTTGGACTCCGAATCGAACTGTGCTGGCCGACACCTTGAAGGTGACGAAGCCATAAAGTGTAGTGTGATAGAATATATGAATAAATTTAAACCTAAAAGTGCCTAAATACAAGAGTGCGCTTATGAGCGGGAATGAACCCATTTCACAAGTGATGACAGAGTATGTTTGTACCATACTTAAGACCTTCGTATTTAGATCTCGTAAAAATACTCGGGGGACTCAAATGTAATTATGTAATAAAGGAAGGGGCAAATATGTAATAAGTAAGGAGCCCCTATAAAAGGACTCATCACTCTCCTCAATGGGGGAGGCCATTTCCTAGGCCATGAGAAGTCCCTTCACCCTCTCAAAGCTTCTCATGTTCAAAGCTCTCTCTCTCTCACAATACTCTCAGAGAAATACAATAATCAGTGTGGACGTAGCCCAAACATTGGGGTGAACCACGATACATCTTGTGTTATTTACTTTCTTGCAGATTTACAGTCGGATTTACGTTGTTCCAAGACCCCTCCGGTTTTGTGCATCAACATTTGGCGCCGTTTGTGGGAAACGACACAAAAAAATCATGTCGGTTCTTTTTCATTTGTTTCATCTCACCACCATGAATCTACAAAAACCCAAAAACCCAAACTTTCCCAGAAAAACCCCACGGTTCTCCATTTTCATATGCCTAACAACAACAAAAACATGAATCCATCTGAATTTCCGCTCTCTCTCTCTACAATTCAAAAGAAAAAGACCTTTTGGTCCCTCCCATAACGGTTTTGAACCTGAGTTTTGAGAACACGCAAAGTTGAGATCTCGATTTTCCTCTTAGGGGGGGTACCTTTCTTGCCGAGCTGACTCAGCCATCTTCGTCGACAATTCCCAAACTTTATTGTCCAAAACCACTGCCATCGTTGAAAAGCCCATTAAGATCAAACAATCCTATTAGAGATTTTGAGCAGGAGAAACACCATTGACGAGAAAGACAGCCTCGCCATCGGTGATGGACGGGGCCATGCCGATCATAAGGCGCGGCGACTTCGCCGAAGTCTTGAACCCCAGAATCGGACCCTGCTGTGCTCCGCCGTGTGGCGGTGTTGGCTGTGAAGTGCGTGCGATCCTCGGCCAAGAGGTGGCCCACAATGGCGGAGGTGGTCGAGTGCCTCAAAATTGCGAGGAAGAGAGTCCACGTGCCGTGAGGATTGAAACTGGCATTTTCAGCAAAATCCCTCCTAAAATCTTTCCTCACATCCTCAAACACTTACAGCTGTAGCACAATCCTGCCACCTCCTGCAGCACTTTCTCGAAGAGGAGACTTATCAGTTTTTCGAAAACCGTTAAGTATGGCTTTCTTGGCTGCTTTTATATCCAAGTGGTAATCCGGTAGAAAGCACATTCGTATTTAGATACTTCTGAGCATACTCCGCAGCCAATCGACCTTCATGCCCATCATAAACTGCAAAATGTGCACATCTCAAATTTCCAGGAAAATCTTCGATGGCGGCGTCCAAGAGCACAACCCAAGCTTCCTTCATGGCGTGCCTCAACCCCTTATCCTCCGCCGCATCAGCCTCAATTTCAAAACCCATTTCCCATTTGCTCATATCAACTTCTGGGTCTTGATCTTCTTCCATTTTCAACTTCGAGTCAATGTTTGGTGGATTTGCTGATTCGATTCCAAAGTCATCGTCGACGAATTTGAGGCCCATTTATGATAAACCTGTTTACGACGATGACATTTTCGTTGGCGTTCCGGGGCTAAATAGCATAGCTGCAAAAGGTAAATACGAGGACGTTTTCTCGTCGGTGACGTCGTTGCCGTCTAGAGGGAGTAGTAGAGCCAGTGGGTTTGATGACATTCTTGGCGGGTTTGGCAAGGCCGAGTCCCAATTGAAAAGCTCAGGCTCTAGAGGAACGGATAAAGTGGAGAAGGGCGTGCCCGGCTTCGATGATTTGCTACTTGGGCTTGGAAGCGGTAATGCTCCTAATGAAAGACGATCGCCGAGGCGATAAAAAAGGCACCGGAGTATAGTTCTCGTCAGACAATTATTTACATCAGGGCAGGAAGGTACGAGGAGAAGAATTTGAAAGTGGAGAGGAAGAAGACCAACTTGATGTTCATCGGTAATGAAAGGGCAAAACCGTAATCACTGGTGGGAAAATCGTCTCTCAGAACCTGACCACATTCCACACTGCATCCTTCGGGACTGTGTGTAAAGAGGAAAAGAGAAGAAAGACAAGTCCATGCCCCTGCCATCTGCAATCTACAAAGTAAAGCAAAGTAAAGAGAACTTTACTTTACTTTTGTCTGCCATCTACAAAGTAAAGAAAAATAAAGAACTTTACTTTTCTCATAGAATTCTTTTTCACTAAAAATAGAGCCTCTCAGGGCTAATGCACCTGGACCTTAGCAACAGAATAATAAATGCAAAAAGCAAAGGTAAAAGAGAGAGGTGTGGTGGAAAAGAGAACGACAAAAGCAAAAGAGGGAGGTGCAAACTGTCACCAATGAGTCATATTCGTCGGTTCAAGCGAGGCAAGCTTCAAAGTTGCAGAGAAAACACAAAAGCAAAAGAAAGGTGCAGTGGAAAAGAGAAAAGCAAAAGCAAGGAATAAACACCCAACCAGAATGATGTGATTTACTTTTCTTGTTTTTGAATGATGTGATTTATTTTTCTTATCTTTCGGAGACATCTGTATAAACCCCATCAGAGGGTAATAATAATAAAAAAAAACTTAAAGCCCAAAATAATGGGCTGGAATGTTATGTGGAGGGCGAAGGACCGTATGCCCAAAAGAGCCAAGCCCTCTATTATCACCAACCAGGTGATCAAAAGTACGTCAAGTGCTAAAAAAATTATTCGGCAGCCTGCCGCTATCACCACAAACAAGGTGATCAAAAGTACGTCCAGTGCTACAAAAAATTATTTGGCAGCCTGCCGCTATTATCACCAACTAGGTGATCAAAAGTACGCCCAGTACTCCAAAATTATACATGAGTAACATTCATGTCAATCATACATAAATATACATGAGCATCACTCATGTTAATCATACATAAACATTCATGAGCATTACTCATGTCAATCATACATAAACATTCATGACCATCATTCATGTCAACATTCATGAGCATCACTCATGTTAACATTCATGAGCATCACTCATGTCAACATCCATGAGCATCACTCATGTCAATCAACATAAACATTCATGAGTGAAGCTTTAGGGTGAACCACAATACATCTTATGTTATTTACTTTCTTGCAGATTCACGGTCGGATTTACGTTGTTCCAAGACCTCTCCGGTTTTGTGCATCACAAAATATAA